ACTTCTTGCTTGTGGAACTCTTCTCAAGTTTCTTGCTTTCCAGTCAAGTTTGACCTTCAAAAATTCATCTTAATTTCTGTACTTTTATTGTTATTATTCCTTAATGCTTTTCTTATATTCTTTCACACTCAGTAAACCTTGCATATTAGTGGGTTTATTGCCTTGTTTTTTTTTGTTTTTTTTTTTAAGGGGTGGGGTATGATTAAAAAAGAAGAAAAAAAAGAAGAAAATCCATGTAAAATGAATGTCTGTTTACAGGGACCAAAATTCACAGTCCTGATGTGTTCTGTTTAAGGGAGAATAATTAGTTTTAGAAACCAAAATAAACTCTTAAACAGGAAAACTGAAATAATGGGTAACTGTAAGAATATAAATAAACACTTACTTTGCCATCTAAGCATTAATAAAAAATGAATAAATAAAATAAAATAAATATAAAATAAACATAAAATAAAACAAAGAAATAAAATTAAATAAAGAAATAAAAATAAACATAAAATAAAATAAATTAATAAATTAATAAATATAATGTGTGTGTGTGTATATATATATATATATATATATATATATATATATATATATATATATATATATATATATAAATACATGCACACACATACAAACAACAACAAACCTAACCTTCCATAATTAATACCTTAATATTTAAGGTAGCACCAAGGCAAAAAACAAAAAACTATTAGTTACTAAACAAAAATGAAACAATTGATAAATGATAACATATAAACAAATATTTAATTAAATATATGTGTTGGTGTGTGCATATATTAATGTGTATATATATGTGTTTGTATGTGCATGCATCTGTGCATGTGTGTATGTGTGTATATTATATAACTTATATACATATATTCAAATAAGAAAGAAAATACATCTATAAACCTAATCACCCATAATTAATACCCTAACATTTGAACTACCACCAAGCCAGAAATAATCCATTTTATCATTTAAGGATTAATTAATGAATATATTAATATAAAAGCACAGATATGCATGTACATGTGTTTGTATGCATGCATTTGTATATATATATATATATATATATATATATATATATATATATATATATATATATATATACATACTTGTATATATATATGTGTGTGAGTGTGTGAAATGTATGAATGTGTATATGCATACATATTCAAACAATAAATAAAATTTATCTATAAACATAACCTATTATATTTAATACCCTAATACTTAAAATACCACCAAATCAAATAAGAAAAATGAAATAATGAACAAATAAAGATATATAAATATTTACCTTACCATTAAAGCATTAATAATAAAAAATTATTTAAGTAAAAAATGAAATACACCTACATTTTCTCAAAATCTACAAAGCCCCAGAACACTCTAGAATTACTAAGAGCAGAGACTCTCTGTCAAACCAAATGGTGTTTGCTACAGTTGTCTCTCAAACTTGAAAGTGGGAAAGAGATATAAAATCAATAAGGAGAGACTATAAAGAGACAAGAAAAACAACAAAAAGGAGAAATAATGATGACATTCTACACATATGCTCATACACATGTCTGAGCAGGTGCATATACATGCACACTCACATGCAAACACACACAATGAAAGAAGAAAAAATCAACTGATAAAATGAAAAGTGCATAAATTATTTTTTAACTGTTGTGTCAAGTCCTTGTTCATAAGAAAAAACAGAACATAAACACTGATTTGAAAACGCACAAGAGCATTTTTCATTTTTCTTTTTCTAAAGGAATCCTTTTTGGCCAACACTTTTTCAAAGGTAACTATTGACACAAATCTGGTGAAACAAGGGATAATATTCACAAAAAGAAAAAATATATTGAATGAGGAGTGTGTACAATAAGTTTATCAAGGCAATGTCCCTCAGAGGACAAAACGCGTCTGCTAAGAATAGTTTTTCTTCTTGTCTCTTTTGAGTCAGTTTGTTCCGTTACAGATACACTCTATCTGAAAATAATTTATATATATAGGCACGGTAGAGTAATGGATAGCGGCTTGGATTGAGGAATCGCAGAGCCAAGTTCGAATTCCAGTCGAATCCATTACATTCACTTACGTCCTAATACCCTTGGGAAAGGTATGAATCCTCTTCCTCTCCCTCCAGCTATGGGTAAAATAGCAGGACAGACTGGGTTCTATAGCCTTGGATGGCAACTGGTCTAGGAGAAGGACAACTCTGAATTCAAAAACCTGCGGAGGGTCGTTTGGGAACCTTGTGGCATTGATTGCACCAGGTCTCTGTATTCGTCCCTTCAAAAAAGTGTGGATGGTCCTGCATGAAGCCTTCACCACTATAATCAAATCTCATGTGCCGGTGTTGGGCTGTCGGTTTCCTGGAAACTGATCTGCTTGACCCTCATACGTCGAATCTCGACGGGAGAGTCGATTATTATATTATATATATATTATGTGAAAATATATAGTAAATAGGAAGGAACTGGTTAGGTAAATAGTCCAAAGTTCCTTAGTATTTTAGTTATTATTTTTAAAAAATAGTGCTCGATACAAAAGTAGAGCATAAATATAATTATTTATTTAAAAATATGATTCCAAATCGCTACATAAGAGGTCTCATGTTTCAAAACAAGAGCCGAAAACTTCAATATAATCCTTTAAATTAAATTGAGTTGAAATTAAAAAGGGCTCCGTTCCATCTTCAAGCGAAATTTTGTTGGAATAACGTATATCTGAAATTTACTTGTTTTAAAAAATTGAAATCAAAATCACCATGGTGACAGCTAGGGCGAATTGTCTAAAATGGGTAGGCGAGTGTAGGGTGTTAATGATAAGTAGCGGTATAGAGATACTTTCAAGGTGTCAAGTCGGGGAAGGTGAGGGTGTCAAAAATGAAACGAAGATGTATTAAGCTTTCGTCAAGTTGGCTTGTCTATGGAGATTTATTTATTTTATTTTATTTTATTTTATTATGAAAGGGAATTGTGCATATAAAAAAAAAAAAATTTCGTAACGTTTTGTTTTTGACGACTTCATAAAGGGTTATCTTTTATGTAAGGTATTTAAACTACTAATTTGGGCTATGGATTATGAAGGGTGTTATGTTGTATGTAAGTTTGTAGTTAATAATTTCTACTATGAATCTGATGATTGGGCTATTTGTTAAACAAGTTATATAAATTTTTTATTTCAAACCAAAAAATCTGATGATGCCTACAAAAAACCGTTAACTCGTGTCTATTATTTAATAGATTATTATTATTTAGAAGTTTAATAATGTGCAATTTTCATGGAGGCACAAAGGGCATGGGTCATTCCAAGCTTTACATATTCTAGCCTTGTCAATAATTTTCCATTTAACTTTTGGTGTCTTATTTGTTTCCTTCAAGTGCCAAAAATATTTTGATAGTGAAGTCTGGTTTCTTTTTGTTTATATTATTAAAGGAGCACTTATGCTGCCTCCATCTATCTTTAAAATTATTCTTCGTGGACCCAATGTATATCATAGTGCTAGGGCTCTCTGTTGATGAAATAGTGCATTGGTATACCACAGAATTAATACAACATTTAAATGTTGTATTAATTCTGCTGTGGTATACCAATGCTAGAATATGTAAAGCTTGGGATGACACAGAAAAATTGCACATTATTAAACTTCTAAATAATAATAATCTATTAAATAATAGACACGAGTTAACGGTTTTTGTAGGCATCATCAGATTTTGGTTTGAAAAAAAAAAAATTTATATAACTTGTTTAACAAATAGCCCAATCATCAGATTCATAGTAGAAATTATTAACTACAAACTTGCATACAACATAACACCCTTCATAATCCATAGCCCAAATTAGTAGTTTAAATACCTAAAAGATAACCCTTTATGAAGTCGTCAAAAAACAAACGTTACGAAAGTTTTTCTTTTTATATGCACAATTCCCTTTCATAATAAAATAAAATAAAATAAATAAATAAATCTCCATAGACAAGCCAACTTGACGAAAGCTTAATACATCTTCGTTTCATTTTGACACCCTCACCTTCCCTGACTTGACACCTTTGAAAGTATCTCTATACCGCTACTTATCATTAACACCCCTACACTCGCCTACCCATTTTAGACAATTCGCCCTAGCTGTCACCATGGTGATTTTGATTTCAATTTTAAAACAAGTAAATTTCAGATATACGTTATTCCAACAAAAATTTCGCTTGAAGATGGAACGGAGCCCTTTTTAATTTCAACTCAATTTAATTTAAAGGATTATATTGAAGTTTTCGGCTCTTGTTTTGAAACATGAGACCTCTTATGTAGCGATTTGGAATCATATTTTTTAAATAATATATATATATATATATATATATATATATATATATATATATATATATATAGGGTTAGAAAAATAGACATTGCACTTAATTGTTATTTATGTATATGGTTATGTATGAGAGAGTGTGAGTGGAGGCATGATAATGAAATAAAACAAACCAAATTTTAAGAATGTTATTTTCCTCATGAAATTAGTCATGGTATTCAGAAAGCCAAATGGGACACATTGGCCCATGGGTCATCTTTTGCCCATGACAGATATAGGCAAGTGGAGATATGAGTCAACACTGCATGGTGACTGTCAGAACACAATCTTCAAACCCATTGTCAATACTCTTTTTGCAGATTTTAAGACCACTGTGGGATTAAAGAAAGTGAAGGAAAATAGAAACTGGCTCTTCATTACTGTAAATAACCTAAAACATTAAAGCCTGGTTTCTTTCTTTCCCTACTTTCTTTAATCCCCTGGTGACCTGTATATAGAAACCTCAAAACAAGTAGGGATGTTTGGTCTGAAGATTACAAAAAGGTGCAAAACTGACAGTCACCATGTGTGTGTGCGTGTGTGTGAACAAATAAAACTGTTCCAAATTTAGAAAATTTGGATATTTTATAAGAAATTCTTACAAACATTATATTTAATTATTACTCGTGCCCTTGATAAAAAAATGTTTCTATATTCTTAAGGCTTACAGCCATGTCACATTGAAACACTGGTTCTCATATGAACATCAAAATTAAGCAACGTTGAGCTTGGTCAGTACCTAGATGGGTGACCACTTGTGAATACTAGGTGCTGTAAGCTTGGATGTGCAGATGGTGTAATATATAACAGCTTGGAATTGAAAATTGGATAGCTGAGTTCCAATTCCAGTCAGGTTCGTTATATTCACTTACATACAAATACCCTTAGAAAAGTTATGAATCCACCTTATCTTTCCTCAGCTATGGGTTAATTAGTAAGACTTGTATCAGTAAATCATTATTATCTAAAAAAAATTCTTCCAATCTAAAAATATTTCTGGCTTTAAATAACCTGCAAAAGGCTGATAAACTTACAAATATTCTTATCACAATATCCCAATTATGCTTGTAAGTGTTGCACATGAAAATGCTAATTTATGAGTTCTATAGGTTACAGTGCTCCTTACAAACATCAAAAAGAACAGAGAAATAGGAAAAAAATGGCATGACTGTTATGCCAAAGAAATGTGTTCAGGTATGCTGTGTTATCAAATCATATCAATTGGTTCATGTAATAGCTGGTTGTGGGGATGTAATGGCTGCCAGCCCAGAGAATAAAATCAGCAGACAGAGTTAAAATTTCAGGTGAGGATATTAATATTCTTTTCCTACTAATGCCTTGTGTTGTGTTCTATCAGGACATGGGCGATCATGACTCTCCACAGCTTCCTATCCTTTCTAGCTCTTAGCAATATTTGTCTTTTTACTATTCCTTCCTATCCCTGTTCTGCCATCCATTTACACAAGCTCATTATTCTCTCTGTCCCTCTTGCTTTTAATATGTCCTGTGAGTATTAAATTCTCCAAGCCTTCTTTCCTTGTCATGTCTCGCAGAAATTTCAACTGTCACTTTCTGATTGTAAGTATAATTGTTGTTTTTACTTCCATTTTCATTAAAACGTTCGTGTTGCTCACATGCACTATGTTAATCTCAGCACCTGTCTATAGAACCACATCTTTATTGCCAAGTCTTTTCTTCATCTGTGAGGATAGTCCTGAATTCACTGCCATATGCTGGTGGAGGGCTGCTATTATACAGGAGTTCAGCACTCTTTTCTTTGTTTCTAATGAAATTTTCCTGTTTCTTAATACTTTGTTTAAAAGGCACCTTTCACTATTCCAATATGACTTTAGATTTCAGTATCACATTTTCTGTTACTTGTTAAAGCTCTTAGATTTCTGTTCTCACTTGAATCTGACATTTCCAATTTGTAACTTGCATCTAGATACTGTCCTGCTAGCAAACAGTACTTCATCAAGAAACAAACATTAAACTTCAATATATGTAATGTATTATTTATTAAGATCAAAACTGATTTACTTGAATCATGAAATGACATGGGAAGATATTATGTATCATGTTAATATTGTGCCATATTGGACAACTGTGAATAAAAGTGAATGATGAGATAAAATGTATCGTGTGCTTAACTGCAGCAACCCATAGTGGATCTAACTCTATTTTCTAGTAGCTGCAGGCTCTACACTTTATTGAAATTTGTTCTCTATAAATAGATTCAAGGGAATTAACTCTGCATTTATAAATACATCACATCTCTCATCTCAGTATATGAAAATTATAATATTAATCATTGACAAATAAAATATTTACATGGTATATGTCATTAAGAAATGATGTATGAATAATCACAATGGTAGACTACCTTCATACTCCTAGAATTAGCATTATTTTACCATTATTAAATTTCTGTTCTGTATCTAGTATCTGTATTTATTTATAACATGACTACTACTTGTTACAATTCTGCCAACTTCTGAGTATGACATGATTGAAGGGGTCTGCTCAATAGTGTCTGACACAGTTGAATTCATATTTGAATTCATCAGCTATGAGTGCTGATCTTTAGCTGTCATTCTTCTCTATTGAGTATATGTGTTGTTTAAATCTTCTATATGTTTTTCATGTGATGCAGTTGTGACAACGCATGATCTTAGTTTGTCACATTTATTAGTGACACTTGATGTTACCCAAGTTTTATCATCTAATTGTACTCGCACGTGATCAGCTGGCTTCAGTGTTGTGAGTTATTTTCTTGTATGTCAGTTGTAATATTTCTGATGCTGTTTTTGATGTTCAACATGTCTTTTCTGAAGTATAGATGGATTTTCTGTATGTTTTTTTTAATCATTTCATTTTAATCATTAACTGAGGCACCAGGGAAAAAAGCTTGTCAGAGCAGTTGCCATGAAAATATTTGTAGAAAATACAGAGGGAAGCCATGTCACATCAGTGGGAAAGTGACTGAAGTCGAGGGATAAAGTAAACAATGTAATGTGGGTAATTATGTCCTTCATGAGAAGTTGTGCAAGGGATTTTCTAACTTTGTTTGTGTATTTCTTAGTTCATGCAAAGCTAAGTAAGGATCTTTCTCTTCCTCTCTGCAACAACAGCAACAGTAGTAGTAGTAGCAGCAGTAGATTTTATCATCCCAGCTCACAGTATTCTTGCCTGAGATGATCCTTTTTCCCAGATGACTGCCTTTACACACATGAGACAATCAATCTTTTCTGACTTTGCAGTCCCATTTTATATAGCAAACACGTAGCTCCAACTGGAGCAAAACCCAACTCATTAGGGAGCATATACTTTTTATTCCCATTGGTTAAAAACATGAAACTCACTATCCAATCAAACCATACTTGTTTGCAATTTAAATTTGGCAGGTTTTTGGCAACATCAAAATGGATTCTCATTTTGTAAATCTTTGCCAGAGAATGTTAATTCATGTTTTTTTTTTGTTTGCTTTTTTTTGTCTGGCTTCATTTTAATAAAAAGAAACCGTGTTAGTAACATTCTAATTTTCTTAATTAGCTTTTCATAAAATTTAATATTCTCTTTTTTTTAAAAATAATTAATTTTTTACACATTCCAACATTTTCTTAGTTTTTCATACAATTTTAATATTATCATTTTTATTAAAAATAACTTATATATTCTCACTTTGAGCTCTGGTACATACAATGATCTGCTGAAAGACAGCTTTTACTTGTTGTTTTCAATTATGCTATATTATGCACATGAATACGTTTATCATGGCTAGATGTGCTGAGTTCAAATTTGCTTACTTAGCTGCATTCCCTTTTGCATTGATGTTCTTTGGAAAGTCATGAATCCATCTCTTATCCCCACAGCCATGGGTTAAATAACTGAGTAGACTGGGTTCTTTAGCATTGGTTGGCAGTCAGTCAAGGAGAAGAATAAGTCTGAATTCAAAACTTTGAATGGTAATTCACAGAGAATAAAGGAAAGTAATCTGTGGATAGCCCTGCTCACTTACAATCTGAAATTGACATGACATTAAAAAAAATGGCTTATAACAATCTTTTTATTATACACATTGGTAGGCTCATCCTAATTGCCATGAGACAGTTTTCAATTTTTATTATAAATTTAGTTTTCTTGTATAATAAAATGTTTCCATGACATGTTGAGACCCACATGACCCACTGGAGTGTTGTGGTAGCAGGTCTGCAAGGCCCACACAACCCTCTGGTTGGTCGTTTTCTAATTTTTTTCCATGAGGATTATTGAGAGTGGGATGCTATGATTAATTACTTATCATCATAGTACACCAGAACCAGATTTTTTCCAAAAAAATTTAAATATTTTTGATTTTTGTCTTTTATTTCATTTTCCTTTAGAAATTTCTACTGTTGTTTTTGGAGTCATTTTTTATTTTTACATACACTGAGCATTCATGTGGGTCATGTGTGACTCTAGGTTGTAAAATGAACTCAGGTACTGAACGATAAATTGGTAGGTCATGGGTAATAAACAGTACCTATTATATGCTTGCCTCATAAATGTAACAATGTTAAAACAAAGTTGCTTGTACCAAAATTAATTAAGATATAGTGATTTTCCAAGCGTAGCTTAGATGTGGCACAAGGACGAAAGTAGGGGGCACCCAGTGAGGATTGAACTCACTACTCAGTCATAATTGTTCTAGCGAGACAAGCTTGCTAACCATTACACCGCCTCGATTAATTAAGATATAGTGTTGGGACCCTGGGACAATAAGAGAAATGAGGCAATGTGTTAAAGTTCAGGAATGGCACATGCAAAAAATGCAAATACTGATACCTTATATCACTGGGATAATCCTAGCTAAACTAGGGCATATAGTAAGCCTACACATGGGTCTCAACATGGGATAATGATGAGCAAGCTGGTTTTACAAACCATTATCCCTAAATACTGACTGTTCTCTACTTTTGGGCCTTGTGCCAAAACTAAATAATTATTATATATATATATATATATATATCTCATTCGAAACACCTTGAGGAAGTATATGAAACTCTACTTGTACTGATTCAACATGAACTGTATTTATGAGTCAAGGTAAAAGCAAAAAAAAATGTTTAATTATTCCAATGTTATTATTTCTTTGATAGAAGGATCTATTCATATTGTGAAATAAAATAATCAGAAAGTATTTTTTTTTTTTAAATAAAAGCCATTATTTATTTATTTAAATTGTTGGTTTTTATGGTATCTGTTATTTAATGGAATAGTCTGATTAGAAATTATTAAACTCAATTGGACTGTACCACTATAATTAGCTTTCTTGTGCTGGCCAGATTTGTAACAGTGGCTGACTGTTGTACTTCTCACCAAGGTTGGTCCAAATTATTTTATAGAATGCCTATGTCAAGACTGCTAGTATTTGTTTTTTTTAACTTTTAAATATTTCTGGGAATTATAACTGTTGGTACAATACTTTTTAAGTTAGGAATTGCTCACAATTTACTGTAAGAGTTATTTTAAGTTAGCTTAGTTATACTTAACTGCAAAAACTTGGCTTTCCTCTTTAAATGAAAATTTCTAAAGCCTTTTCCTAATTTGTGATTCAAAAATTAAATTCATCCCATAAATTCACTATAGTTTCTATTGTAATTCATGCTCAATTGTACTTAATTATTCTATGTGACTTCTCAAAATGGAAGAACTGGTTAACTTGACTTGCAAGTGGGACATGTTCATTTTTACTTCAAGTCTCTTGAAGACACTTGGTAAACTATACCAACTTAAACT